TTTGTAAAGCAATCCTTCGTGCCAGACGCTGTCGAATGCTTTAGCTACGTCTAAAAACACACCCACAGTGATCTTCTTAGAGTCTATATTCATTGCAATTTTACTAGCCACCCCACGAATTTGCTGAATAGTAGAATGCTTTTTACGAAATCCAAATTGGTGATTTGGCAATAGGTTGTTTTCTTGTATTATTGGTTCAAGTCGGGATAAAAGAAGATTTTCAAATAGTTTGTAACCTTTGTAGCACTCAATCTTGATATAAAATTTGATACATTTTTTTGTCTTTCAGCCTCTAATAAACCTTTCAGCTCTTTTGTTAATTTATTCAACTTTGTCTTTATTTGTGGAGCTCTAGATACTTGCCAGATTTTTCTCAACTTTCTTTTTTGTTCTATTTTATGTTTGATATGATTCGGGACAGGTATTACATTTTTGGTTTTTGTTATTGGTGTAGATGCAGATGCTGCAGATAATAGTAGAGAATTGAAATTGATTATTGCATTATTTATTTCCTCTTCTGTTCTTAGAGCTACATTTATAACTAATTGTTCTTCTATTATCTCGCGATATGTATCCCAACATGTTTTGTAATTGTAAGTATTAATGTTCGTATTGTTCATAGTAAGAGTTGCGCTGTAAACTAGTACTATCGGTGAGTGGTCAGAGGACAACTCAAGGCTGGAATGAATGGAAAGGTTACTTACATTTATGTTTTTTGTTATAAAGAAGTCAATCAAATCAGGTTGCTTTCTTGGGTCACTAGGCCAGTACGTTGGTTCACCAGTACCTATAAATTTTGCTTTGTATTCATTCAGTGCGGTGTAGTGATTTTTGCCCTTTGCGTTTGTTAAACGTGAACCCCATAGCATATTTTTTGCGTTGAAATCCCCTCCGACTATAAATCTTTGACCAAGAGATTTGAGGAAATTTAAGTACGTGACTTTGGTATTTGAGAACTTAGGAGGACCATAAATAGCAGACAATTTTAATAGACCATAGGAATCTTCAATCTTTTCTGTGGTCGCTTGTATTTGTTCTGTACTATGATTTTCTGATTTTGGGCTAACTATACAGTTTTTTATGAAGATGGCAGTTCCACCGTGTCCTTTTCCGTCGGGATGATTGGTTTGAAATATTGTGTAATTTTTTATTTTAACATAGCTTTTTTCAGTGAGATGCGTTTCTGAGGTTAATAGTATGTCGATCGAATTTGAGTACAGAAAAGTTTTCAATTCGTTGATATGTCTACTTATACCGTTTGCATTCCATGCTACTATTTTTAATTTATGGAACTTACCCATTGATTTTTGTGACCAACGCCGTTAAAATGTTCATCATTCCTGACATTTGTGTTATCAATGTTTTCATCATTTCTTTTAACTCTGCGAGTTCTGGGTTGTAAAAGTTAGATTCAACAGGTGTTTGACGCGTAACTTGGGCATATGATAATGTTTGTGGGATGTTGGCATTTGTGTTTTGAGCAGTTGCATTGTCTGTTGTGTTCAAAGATTGTTGCTGACTTGTTTGGACGGGTGTTACTTTTTCTCTCATGATAGGATATCGTTTAATTTTAAGTGATTTGTACACCTCACATCCCTTGTAGTTGGCTGTGTGCTTTTCTCCGCATAAGGCACAGCTTATGTTTTCAGAATTTCCTTTTGTTGGACAACTGGCGGTTTTATGAAGCGTTATGTTGAAGCGTTAGAAGTAGTGAAAGAATACAAATATTTAAGAGTTTGGATCAGTTATAATGGTAAATTCAATGAACATCTCAGTAAAAAGTTAAGTGAAGCCAGAAATGCAATAAACTTGTCATGGAAAGTAATTTTAGGAAAAATGAGGTTGCGCCCTCGGTAAAGTTTCAATTATTTCAAGCGGCGGTAAAATCAATCCTCTTTTATGCAGCACATGTATGGGGAATAGACGAATATAACGAAGTAGAAACAGGATTGTCAACTTTATATATAGAGACGCTAAAACTAAATTTTAAATATATAAATCACGTCATGAATCTGAGTGACAATAGACTCCCTAAAATTCTGGCAAGTTTGCTCGCAAATACGAAGACAGGTTTTGTTGAAAAATGGCAATCACTGGCTAATGCGCATGTTCTAGTAAGTTATGTTTTATCGAGTTTCTAATTATGACAGCGCTGCCACCCCTAGCGCAATTATCGGGATGTATAGTATGGTATAGAGTACAGTTTTTAAACGTTCTATGCGATTGCTTAGTAAAATGAGTTTCAGCGATTAGACCGATATCAATGTTTTCGCTATTTAATACGACTTCGAGTTCATTTTTATGTTTTGTTAAGCCATTCGCATTCCATAAGAATAGTTTCAAACGATTAGTCATAATCTAAAAATTGCATATTGTGCTCTAGCACGCTCAGACGTTGTTCGAGGGTTTTAAATACCTCTTCTTGTAGATTAAGTTTTGTTAAGATAATTAACAACGCGTTGTTGCTTTGTGAGTCAGTTCTTTGAATGGATTCCTTCACAGTTTGGGCGTATGTAAATGACTGTTCTAACACTAGTAGGTCCAGTAATTTTGGATTTATTTTTGTTACAGCAACTTGATTATTTTTGTCAGCCGTAGTTTAGTTAGCTTTGTATGGCATTCGTGGCAAAAAAATTTATTGACAAAAATTATGGCGAATGAAAGAGCTAAATTTACATTGACAGCAAGGGCAAGTGATTATAGACATGCTTACAAAAGGTTGGAGTATGAATTACGCGATCAGAATTATTTTAAAGATGATTATACTATTGGAACTATCAGCCAGATTTTAAAAACTCGGGGCGAACTCCTTAATTTAAATTATAGACCATATGTGCAAGTAAATTCAACACATGGTTCATTGTGTAATTTAGACCAGCCAGAGGACATAATACACTTTATCGGATTATGTCCAATTCTGATAGAAATGCGCTACAAATTCTATAGGAAGCACACTCTTACAGAGGAGGAAATAATAGAAGCATTAAACGGGGAAAACTGGACCGCACTCTCTGGCTATGTTAAAGATGCAATTAATTACAGGCATAGAATAATAAATGAAAATTTTTAGTTTTAAATAAAATAGAATAAGAACAAGAAAAATATGTACAATTCTACTTTAATAAACTGTAAAATATACTTCAATTAGCTTTAGAACACTTCATTATTAGTTAATTAGTTTGTTGGCAGACGGCATTTGGGCCATGCCTTTAGCTCAATAAGTAACAATATTATAATGTGTAAATATTTTGTAATTTATTTATTAATAACATAAATTAACGTGTGATATTAGTTCTAAGTTTGAAATATTATACAGTTTTTGAACTAAAATAAAAAAAAATACTACTACTACAACATAATTGGCGACAAGGATAGGATAGATAAATGAAAAAAAATAAAAAGTAATATGAATTAAGATGAATTTAAATTAAAGACATTAGCAAATATAAAATAAAAAAGTGAAGAGGATATTTGTAAATGTTGTCGGAGAAAAATGATGGGTACAAATACAAAAACGTGTTATTTTACACGTGGAAAAATATTTGGCATAAAATGTAAAAAAAAAATGTTTCAAAAAAAAAAAAACAATTTCCAAAGTTTTGAAATGCGAATAAATTCAAATAAAGATATATTATTACAATAATAATATATATATATTAAATATATAAAAATATGTATATAAAAACTATATGTTTTATATTCACATATTTAAAATAAATAAAAGATGATGCAACAGACGGAACCAGCAAAAACCACTAGCGCGCCAAGTATAACTGTATTGCTGAATTTTCGCCTCAAAAAGAGAATGAGAGATTGGAAATTCATTTTGCTGAGATCAATTGCACGGAAGATAACATAGAAAAGCTTCTTTATTGCAAAATAGCGGATCAGCTTCATATGAACTATTGCATAACTTATGCAGTTCAACATCACCTATATCGAAAACGTATAAAGAGTTGTGTGCAATCTTAAAAACACAGTATACTCCACCAACTATAATTTTTAAAGAGCGTAAAAACTTTCACAGTGCGATGCACTGTGCAAGAGTAAAAAAATTAGCTTTAACATGTGAGTTTGGAGAGAACTTATCAGATTTTATTCTGGATCGGTTCATCATGAACATAAACAACAAAAATTTTGAAAGACTATGTGAGAAAGATGAGAAACTCATAATTGAACAGGCACTAAGAAAAGCACTTATTATAGAGCCTATGTTCAGTGAGTCAAAAATTTATGGGGAAAATGTCAATTACATTAATAATAATAATATAAAACCTCAGTATAACAAAAGAAACGGGAGTTGCAAAAATATTGAGAACAAAGTGGAAATAAAGAAATCAGTGAAATTTTATCAACCGTGCGTACACTGTGGTTGGAGAAATTATGTGTCTAATGAATGCTATTACAAGTCATTTAAATGTCATCAGTGTGGAAGAATTGGTCATCTAACTTCAATTTGTAAAAAGAAATTAGAGTTGTAAATAAAGTATCTAATATAAAAGTAAATGATCATGTTAATAATAAGTTTTGTATTTACAGCATTAAACATGAAGGTGACGACTCAACTGAATTGTACTCGATGTCAATTAAACTTAACGAAATTTCGATAGATGTTGTGTGCGATTCAGGAGCTCCATGCACTTTAATATCTAAACACATTTTAAACAAGTACAACAAAACTGTAAATCTTAGAAATTTTAACGATCCATTTATTGATTACAATAGTAATCATATTAAGGTACTGGGTGAATATTTTGAAAATAGTGAGTACAATAGAAAAAAAAAGAAAATAATGTTAGGAGTTACTAATAATAATAATTTTCCCTTATTAGGTAGGATTTTTTTAAGAGCCTTTGGTTTTGAACTTATATAATACAAATAAATTCCATTAATAATTCTGATTAATATGATATATTTATTGAACAAATTAAAAATGAGTTTAATGAAATTTTTGATGGTGAAGTAGGTACATACACAAACTATCAAGAATTTCTTTACCAATGGATAAAGATTTCAAACCAGTTTTTTTTAAACCACGACTAGTCCTATTAGCGTGGAAAAGTAAAATTGAAAGTAATTTAAGAGAATTAATTGGTAAAGATATTTTAGAACCAATAAGTAGTGCAGAATGGGGTACACCGTTAGTTCCCATATTAAAACCGAATGGTGAAATTAGAATATGTGGCGATTATAAAGTCACGATTAACAGACATCTATCCGATTTTAATTCTCCATTAACGCGTATTGATAAAATTTTTGCGTCACTTCAAGGGGGTGAACTGTTCTCAAAACTCGATTTACTTGGACTCACTAAAAATAAGGAAAGAACGGAATCTATTTTGAAACCACCAATTTCCAGAAATTTGTTTGAGTTAAGAGCGCTAATGGGTATGGTAAATTATTATTAGAAATGCATTGACAAATTTGCAGATAAAATGATTCCAAGGAATCATATCAGCCAAGGTACCATTTACTAAAAAAAATGTAAAATTTGTTTGGTCTGAACAATGCAAAAAAACATATGAAACAATAAAAAAAGATATAACTTCGGATAAAATGTTAGTACAAAATAAGTCCAATTGCATTCGTGTCTAGAGCTTTATCTAAAGCTGAACAAAATTACAGCACACTAGAAAAAGAAGCCTTGGTCATAATTTTTTGTGTAAGTAAACAATATTTAATTGGAAACAACTTTATTTTAAAAACAGACCACAAATCTTAAATATCAATTTTTGGTGAGAGTAAAGGTTTACCAATCATGGCAGCTGCACGCATGCAATGATGGGTATTCATACTATCTGGCTTTAATTTTTAATTTGAATATGTCAAGGACCACACTATTGATGCGGACAATTTATTTCGTATACTTCAAGCAATACATTGCGATCAGAATGAGGGAAGCTTATTCTTAAATTATATTCAAAGTGAAAATATTTTAAACATTGACTTTAGGGACATAGCGCGACTTATATGTTTATTCACTTCGGTGAATAAAAAAAAAAATAATAATAATAATTTTAATTCACAAAACAAATTTTAATTTTTATTAAAATTTTATTTCACAAAATATATTTATTGTTGATCCAAGATATTTTACAAAATATTAATTTTCAACTTTAACTTCGATTAAAGATATCTTTAGACTGAGTTCTAAAACAAAATCAATATCTTATATACTACTTACAAATCATAATTGGCGAAAGTGGATGAGAGGTAACAATAAAAATTTGGTAACCTGTTGACAAATGAGGGTCATTGCATTGTTTATGTTAAATGCTGATGCAGTTTGAGAAAATCTATTACAAAATAGATTTTGTAATATAAATTACTATGAATTAAAATATTGTTTTAATGATTTAGAAATTTTAATTCTGAATAATGAAATTTAGAAATTTTATTTTGCTTATTTAGAGAAAGTTAAAGTATCGTGGGATAAAATATTATTTCGATACTTTAATGGTTCTGCAACTATGATAGTTACAAAGAATTACGTTTTGTAATTAATGTTTGGAAAGTGTCACTATTAAGCAAATTTGGTAATATGGGAAATATACCGTGGAATAGATAATTATTTGGGACACTTATGAGACATATACTATCGAATTTATTATTAATAGGAAAATTTGATCACACAGACCAATTAATTGGAATATTGTGAAGTATTGGCGAAGCCAATGATATAACCCGCGCGTTCTTATACTTTCTTAGGTATGTGATTTTGTCAGAAAAGAAAAGCAAAGATACAGAATTAACAGTAGACCAAGATTGCTTACTCTGGGGGTTTCGAGTTATAATTCCATTGAAGCTTAGCACATTCATTTTACAATCACTACATGAATCTCACTTAGGCATAGTCACGACCAAATCACTAGCAAGATCCTTTGTATGGTGGCCAAAACCCGATAGGGACATAGAACATTTAATTAAATCATGTCTTTCTTGCCAAACACTATTGCCAAGTCCGCAAAAAAGTCAATTAATACCATGGAAGGTAACGAATACTGTTTCGCAAAGAATTCATATTGTCTTTGCATATCCAATTAAGAACTTTTATCTTTTTGTCATAATAGACTCTTATTCAAAATGGGTCGATGTATTCAAAACAAACGATATCACATCTAATTTTGTAATCACTAAGTTGAGAGAAATTTTTTCACGTATTGCCGAAACCTTAGTTAGTGAAAATGGCAGACAATTTGTCTCCGAAGAGTATAAAAATTTTGTTAATAACAACAAAATTAATCACATGTTGACTGCTCCTGATCATCCATCAACTAATGACTAATCAACTAATGCCACATTAAATGGTAAAAATAATGAAAACTTTGAAATATCTTTAAACCGATTTTTAATGGATTATCGTAATACTAAGCATTGCACAACAGATAAAACCCCAGCACAAATTTTCCTGGGAAGATTGATAAAAACCCGATTTGAGTTTATTAAATCTCCTATTGTTAGGGATAGAATTATTTAAAAGCAAAGAAAGAGTGTTTCAAATTACAGAGGATAGAAAAATTAACAATTTGAGATAGATCAAAATGTATATGTACGTGACTATTTTAACGTAAATAAAAAATCGTGGATTTCTGCAATAATCAAAGACAAAATGAGTCCACGTTCATATTGGATCAAATAAAATCAGGCCAGGAGAAAGTCTGGTCGCACACAACAATTCAATAGATTTTCAAGACGATTGGAGTTACAGTCCATCATGTTCATATACAGACATGCTGAGTACAAACGTTGAGCGTTCACAATATGAAAAAGAAATACAAGCATTAGATTTAAGTAACAAAGATTCTAGTGTAGATATACAAAATGTTAAGAGTAATTGTAATTGTCAAAATATTATCAAAGAATTAAATAACAAATCTGAAAATGAAATATGTATTAACAATGAAATGAATATCAATAATAATGAAAATGTACTATTTAATGATTGTACAAAATAAATAGTAGTACTAATTGCGGACGAAAACGCTCCATCAATTCAATGGTTGTTAGGACGTGTTGTGGACACTCATCCTGGAGCAGATGGATTGGTGCGAGTAATAACAATTCGAACGAAGGCGGATATAATCTGAAAAAGTGTTACCTACATTTGTCCGTTGCCTACTGAGGCAACAAAACCACCAAAAATGGTGCTGGTTGGAACAAGGTACCAAGGCCGGTAGTATGGTCAAGCCGTTTTAAATCTTGTAATTTAATTTTAGTTTTTTATTATCAATTTGGAATTTGAATATAAAATTGCATAACTGAATTTTATATTCAATATTTAGAATTCAGTATTTAATTTATAATTTGTTATTAATTTGTAATTAAAATGTAGAGTGTTGACAACTTATAGAAAATAGTTCGATTTTGAGTCAAACTCAAATAAAAAAGCAACTTCACTTGCAATTAAGGAGTTGAACAATCAACACCAAAACTATATTTAAAATGTTTTTTCATTTTGTTGAATTTGTTAAGTTGCTGTCAGCCACAAAAAACATTGCAGCTTCATCAATGGCAAAAACACACAACTTGAATTCATTGCAGAAAAGCACATTGTTCCACAACTTCTCCGGCATATCTACATATTTGTTCGAAAAAGCAATGCGATTCTTTTGATTCATTAAAGATACATATATAAGCCTTCCTTCGTGCTACTCACCATGAAAACCGGCCCTCCTCAAAATTCTGCAAGCGATAACCACAGAAATTTTTTTGTAAAGCTTTTCTGTATATTATGTACAATTTCCAATGCCATCAAACTTGGATTTTTCGTAAACGAATTTAATATTGAGCGGATTTTACGATGTGTAACTTTCGGTAGGCGACCAAAACGCGGCTTTGACGTATTAACTCCGGTAGTTTTCTAATTTTTAATCACGGTATGAACCAAACAATGCACTATTCCAACCAAACGTCCCATTGCCGGTTCGACTTCTCTTCCTCTCAAAATTTCATTTTTTTTACCGACGCTTACTTCTTTCTGATTAGACACCACTGCCAGTTTGTGATAAGTATTTTAAGCACAATAAAATTTTTTGCAGTTTTATGATTAATTATCACAAACACAATAAAACGCAATCCAAATTTTCACCAATTAACATTTAACTCGGTTTAGAACTGCAGCATTACTTAATGCTTGTAGACTATCCTTGTGCTATTCTTGTGCTTGTTGTGCTATCCCTGACAATTGAAGCACCGTTATCTCATTGTGAACAAGTGGAAAATAATTTTGCAAAAACCATATGCATTGAATATTATAAAAAAAACACTAAAATACGTTTCCAATAAATTGAGTTTTTTTAGAAACTTGTACTTTTACTCTGAGTGTAAATATAAACTTTGCAAGAAGTTCCATCAATTATCCCGACTATGCAAAAAATTTGAAGGTTCTATTATTTACAGAGCCTGAGTTGTGGCCAATTAAGAATTGGTCTAAAATGCAAACTCCACATGAGCCCGTACATAAAAAATATGTAGAAAAAAAGTTTAAAATATGTTTATTCATATATTTATTATTCATATATTATATATACTAGTGTTTTGTTTTTAAACCGCCGTCCGGCGCATGGGGTGAAAAAAGCCTTGCATTTTGACAAAAACGACATAATTCACCACTGACAAAAAATTAGCTGCTGTATGTTTATGTAGCTTCATAAAACTCTGTACTAAACTCATTCCATTGAGTTTTATTCAGTTTATGATCAGCAGTTATGAATAACAGGTGTTTTTTGTTTTGTTGGGTGCTTTTTGACCCCACGCGACTTATGTTACAAAATTTTTTTTGCAAAGAAATGAATCTAATTCAAGAAGCTCGTATTTTGAGATGTCTAAATGAGGACTGCGATATTGAAATAATAGACAACTCTAATAGAAGTAGTGGTTAAAAGAATTTTTATTCTAATTTGATAAAGTGATTTGCTAGACATATATATTTTTTATAGGAAGTGAAATTGAAATTGATCACGTTGAAATTTGTGAACATAATTCCGAAACAGAACATGAATGTTCTGTTTCTGTTCTAATACAACAGAAAATATAACACCAAGTAGTGATGATGACATTCCTCTTTCACAGTTGTATAACTCTAGAATTAAATACTACCGATCAAACAAAATAGTAAAATAAATCATTTGCTTATAAATGGAAGAAAGATTCCCCACGTAAAGCTGTTCGAACACGTCAATGCAACATTAGATCTCATCTGCCAGGGCCTAAACTAACATGTAATGAAGCTAAAACTATCTTTGAAACATGGAATCTCATATTTTCTAATCATTGGATACACAATATTGTTAATTTCACGAATCAAAAAATTAAAATGGTCTCACATGGCTATAAGAGGAGTCGTGATGCGAGTGAAACTAACACTATCGAAATGAAAGCTTTAATTGACATACTCTATATTGCTGGACTACATACATCTTCACACAATATAGAAAACACACAAAAATATGTGTTGGTTGCAAAAAAGCTCTCTGTCCAAGACACAGTGAAACAATTTGCAAAGATTGCGCAAATTAAAAACATGCAATTTCGAGCTGTAAAATTTTTTATTTAATTATCGAACATCTTACTTTTTTCTTTTATTTCAGTTTTTTCACTTATTAGTAATTAAAAATTCATTAAAATAAAAAAGAAAATTATTTTCGTTTTGTATTTAATGATAAATATACTAAAAGACTCCAAAAAAAACAAGAAAATTTAATACAAGTTTTATGAAAATGACTTATGATATTAAAAATTATATTATTGAAATAAATCAATGTTTTTTTATTTGTTGACGTACGAAACTAAATATTACCATCAAAAAGTATATATTTTTTCAAAAAATTTTGTTGATAAATAAACTTTTACAATGGGGTTCTAAACAACCCCACGCGACGGACTGTGTTACTAAAACGACGGCGGGTTAAAAAATATAATCGGAGGTGATGATGTCAATTTTTGTCAAAACCCGTTTTGATTTTAAACAAATGACCTATATACATTTAATATAAGTTTTAAACATAATGAATATATATGTGTTCTCTACTTAAATTCGTTTTAAGGGTAGAGTTTAAAATATATTTAATACACGTTCCTCACATTGTAAGTGGCCAATAAATATAAGAATGAACAATAAACAAAATGTCTTTTATTGGAATAATACAGTAATAGGAACAGGAATAAGATCTGAGCTTAATAGCAAATCAATGTTCTTATTCGAATTGAAATTAAATTGAAATAAATTATGACGGTAACACCGAAGGGGCTTGTAGATGCATTGAAGAATATAGAAGATAGCGAGCATTCCGATCACTTTATTTAAAACTTGACTACTTTTCGTAAAAATAAAAAATATCTTGGAATATTTTTAATACCGACACTATATTATTACTGTTTTAAATCATATTGTATGCTCATAATCTAATGGTATTCTTGACATAATGATTTCACTTTTTTCTGATTTAAGTATAAAAAAGTGCTTCTATTATTATTTAGAAAATTCATTCTGCGGAAACAAAAAGGTTATGCAATCTAAAAAATATAACATTGAATTTTTTTTAATTTCAGAAATAATAAGTATCTTGAGAAGTCAAGAGTTAGCCGAACATGCGCTGTTGGAGGTTTTTTTCTGTCTATACCAATTTTTCTTACCGGTACGTTTAAAAAAATTAATTAATTTAATTATATTACTTATTTATTTTAGGCATCATTCTCTACACCTTTAATAATTTTCATTCGACTCCTGCTGTTATATCAAGCGTTCTTATTGGTACGGGAATTATATTTTGTGGTGGTGCCATGGTTCATAATGTATTCGTGTGGCAAAAAGAAAAGACTCTTTGCTACCGAAATCAACAAATCAACTTGTCCTTAATTTCTCATATAGGACCAAATTCACCTCCGATTCAATTTATGAATCACATGAGTCACGCCAATCAATTTCATCAAGCAAATTTACAGTTGCACCAAACAACTTCATTAACTCCTGTCTCACCAAATCATTCACAAAATAGTTTCAATGCACTTGGATCAGGACCAGTAAGTTCTTCTTATCTTATGCGACCTTCTACAGCAACTCCGCCAACACCAAAAACGATCGCCAACGGTTGTTTAACATTAACTGGGCGTGAAGCTAGTGGTTCTGCAAGTCCGAGCATACCTCCAACTTTGGATATAAGTACTATAACTAGTACATCTTTGCATGAATTATCAACTTTAGTTTAACTTCATTTTATATATTTTTTTTTGCTAAATAAAATAAAACAATAGTATATCACAAGCCCACTATAACGAATGATGGTGTAAATTTTTATTTTTTAAATAAAGTAAAGATAGCAATAAGTTTAAAATAGCGTAATCTATTGAAATTCTTAATATTCAAAACAATATTGCAAATTTAATTTTTCAAATCCTCAAGACAATAAAAAAGAAATGTTTGAGGTCTAACAGGCCTTTAGAAATTTTTTTCTTACTAGATAAAATGGAATTACCAGTTTCTATCTGATAAAATAAACAGAAAAAAAAATAAAAGAGATTGAAGAAATTTAATCAGATTTGTGAGAATTTACTATGTCGTCACATTAAATTGGTGTGAGAAGTTTTGCTTTAATCTGGAAGGATTACAATACTCACATAATTTCGTTTTGGGTTTTTGGTAGTATATAGCTATAACTTTTGTAATAAAAGTTACACAAGTATTAATTATATGTACATTTTGAAGATACCATTGAGCACTGGATATTTTTTAAAAAGATTTACTTTCAACTTTGTATTTTCTTGATATTAGAGGAGCACGCCGATCTCCATAGTTCAATACCTTAGCACTGATTTGCAGACTTTTTGTGTCATTAACTTCGATATTTATAAACTTAAATCAGCTGAGCGCCTCCATTATGTACTTTAGGGCAATTGTTGTGCTCAGAATGACAGAGTTATTCGCGAAAGTAACTATGTGATTTAAGTATAAAGGAAGTGTACGATCAAACCAAAATGTCTGATCAACGTTGGAATCAACTATTTGCAAGCACTGAACACTTGAATCCAGTACTTATGTTGATTCTATTTAAACAAGAAAACCACTGAGTACTTGAACCCAGAGATTTCGACGATTTTCCTAATTATCCTAGTCACTGAACACTTAAATCCAGTGAATAGGCGCTTTTGTGACGTAAATTCAGCACTTGAACTAAATTTACAAAGCTAAAGAAATGAATCAATCACGAATGTGGCTTCGCATCAATTCAATTGTCAAAAATTCAATTGTGCCTTTTATTTAAAATTGATAATTAATTTACAACAAATAAATTAACTAAAATAACCTTGACAATGCATGCCAAACAATGAACTTATTGCAAACTGCAAGAGTGCATTTTCTTGCAGACGAAATTTGACGCTTTTGTTTTCATGTGCCAGCAGAAGCGTATGACGTATTTTGGGCATTGCATTGACAACGTTATTTTTTACACCAAATATATTTAACACAATTATTACAATACAAATAAAAATAACAAATTATTCATACAAATTTAATAAAAACAATAATATAATATAAACAAATATTCAACATTCTCCCCCGCGTTGAACAACCGTTCAACAATATGAGCCTCTAGCTGTCAGGTAGTCAGTCCGACTATATGTTGATAACGAATTCTCGTGACTGTCGACGTGGCATGGGTATAGGTGTTGTGCGGTTGGCTTCTTCAACGGATGGAATTTCAACATGTTTTTTCTGCAATTTCTTCTTCATCATGATTATGATTAATATCAGCCCTATAACGAGTGCAGCGTAAGCTATGGTGAAGCTGTGGTACTTGTGTGACTGAAATTGATTTGGAAGATCATTTATCTGGTATGACTGCAACACCTTCTGCAATACTGTGAGTTCTTTAAGCTGTTGATCGTATTGGTTGTTACGTATCGTTGACAGTGTACTGTTGCCGCTGTAAGCATCTGATGTCTTCATAGGGGGTTGTAGCCTTAATTCGGAGATTGTACCAAGACTACTGTATGAATATCTTGCCGTGCTTGCAATTATTTGTTGTCCTTGCACGGACACAAAGTTGTGTTTAAGCACGCAGTCTGGATCGATCGTCAATAATCCTGAACCTTTTAGATTTAGTGGAATGATTTTTTTATTACATACTGCAGTTGCTCGTGAAGATGTTGATGTCGCATAAATCCATTGATTTTTGTGATTCAATGGAATCCAGGTCAGCTTGTTGATAGTGTGTTTCAACCGACAATTTGGTATTGTGTTGTTGTTGAATAGGTTGACCTCACACGCACATACTTCGGAACCAAAATTGTATCGTATGCGGACGTTGGTGCAAAGAAATTCCTCTTCCTTAATGGTCTCACAAAGACTTAATTCGGATTTTATTAGAGGAAAATATTGATCATGCTGCGTATTAATAGCCAAAATAGAACTGCAGGAGTCAATTACCGTCATGGAGTCATTTACCCAGTTCGGGATTGGAATTAGCTGAAACAATTCAAATCGTTCATGTTCAGTCAAGGGTAATGTTATACTAAAAACTGCATGCTGCTGTGTGATTCCACCTTTAACCTTCATTAGTCTGTAAAGGGATATTAACTCATCTTCTGGCATCGGTAATTCTAATGATGGTGATAAATGAAGTTTGATTTGATTAACTTCCTTTTGTAATTGTGTTGGTGTCAATAACAATGGATTCACTTTTCCATGATGAGTATCAGTTAGAGCATCTATAATGGCAGATTGTATCTTCTGTAGATTATGTGCTACCAGTGTTAATTGAATGGCTCCTGCATTGAAAACTTGATTGAGCCGTAATTGATTTACCTCTCTATTTGTATCTTTTATTGAATTTATTAATGCCTTTATTTCATTGTCAATGTGGTCAGAACCTTCTTGAACTGCTATTTTATCTTTCTTCATTATGTTGATTGTTGAATCGACAACTGATGTCTGATTCTTAAATAGCGTCAATAATTGTATTTCATTTTGTTTCACTTCTGTAATTATATTTGACATTCCTTTGGCATATTCTGAATCTAATACTCCAAACAGTCAATGTGCAATATTGCCTACAAGGTCAATTGCTCCTCTTTTGAAGCGATGATCATGAAGTAATTTATCATCGAGTTGTAGTTCGGATTCAATTTGTTTAAAGTGATTAACTGTATTCGCACATGATGCGTTTGGTTTCATTTGTTGACAAGCTTGATGTAGCGACATTATTCCTGTGTTTAGAGCTGCTGCTTCCGTCCAATAAAGACTTAAATCATAATAAACTAGTAGATTCCATTCAGTGGTTGATATGGCAGTTGTGCCCAGATTTTCAAAGTGAATACCCAATTTTGTGCCAAACCTTTTATTGTCAATTGGAGATCCTATTACTATTGGCAATATCAGTAATAGTGTAAGTAATACAGAACAGTACAAATTGGTCGGCAGTTTTCCACGTTTTGTCTTGGGCTCTTCATACGACTCTTTTCTATCTTTCATAATTAACTTGTCAGGAGGTACTTCGTGATCAGCTTCAGCCATTGTTGGTTGATCATCTGTATTTACAGGCAGTATAGCTAATCGATGAATTGGGCGTTTAAAAATGCCTGCCGATGTTTTAACATCAGCTACTCGGATATGTCCATCTGTACCCTTGTACACATGTACAATTCGTCCCAAGGGCCACTGCATCACTGGGACGTTATCTTCTTTGATTATAACCATGTCTCCTAACTGTATGTTGGCAGATTGTGTTTTCCATTTGTTACGTTGTTGCAGTTCCATTAAATATTCGTTAGACCAGCGTTTCCAGAAATTATGTTTTAACTGGGAAACTAGGTTCCAACGTGACACTAACGTGTGTTTTTCTGGTTTCGATCGGCTGTCTACATGAGTTGTAAGAGCTTCTCCAATTAATAAGTGTCCTGGAGTTAATGCTGTCAAATCATTTGGATCATTGGACATTGGAGTCAATGGTCGTGAATTTAATATCGCTTCAATTTCCACCACTACTGTTTCGAGTTCTTCATACGTCAATGATGCTGTTGAAATGCTGCGTAGTAACAAATATTTTGCGGACTTTACGGATGCTTCCCATAAACCGCCAAAGCGTGGAGCTCTTGGTGGAATAAAATGAAAATTTATTCCTGTGGTACTGCAGGCAGAGATTATTGCTTCTTGTCCTTCATTAGAATAAATGTTTTCTTCTAATTCTGCTAACTGGTTTTTGGCGCCTACGAAGTTTGTTGCGTTATCACTGTAAATATTCAAACAACGCCCTCGTCGACTTATAAATCGTTTTAATGCTCCAATGAAAGCATTTGTTGATAAGTCGGTCACTAACTCGAGATGTACCGAATTTGTAGAAAAGCAACAAAAGACTGCAATATATGCCTTTGTTGGCTTTTTGCCTCTCACCTTGTAGTGGATCCAAAATGGTCCGCAATAATCTACACCAGCATTAATGAAAGGTCTTGCAGGAGTTATTCTTGATTCTGGTAAATTGCCCATAATTTGTTGGCATAATTGCGGACGTGCTTTGTTGCATCGAATGCATCGCTGAACCGTTGCTCGGGCTGTTGATTTACCTTTAATCGGCCAAAAACGTTGTCGGATTATACTCAATAGTGCCTGCGGGCCACAGTGCTTGTTTTCTTCATGGAACATCACGAATAATAATTTTGCCAATGGATCATTGTATGGGATCAGCATTGGGTGTTTAGAATCGTATGGTAATGATGAGGCTTCTAAGCGTCCTCCTACTCTAAGAACATTTGCATTATCAATGAATGGAGATAAACTACTGATTGAACTAGATTTATCAACATGACCTTGTTTCTTCAGTTGTTTGATTTCTTCATGAAAATCATTACCCTGAATGTGACATATTATAGTTATTAATGCTGCATCCAATTCGTTGGCACTAAGTACTATATGTGTGGCACGTGACTCCTTTGATTTTCTTGCGTTGTTAGTGAATCTAAGAACATATGCTACTATCTTTTGTAACGTCTTAAATGAATTCTTGTGCTGAATCCTGTATATGAAATCTGCGTCATTGCTTTGAGTTGCTACAGCTACAACCTTCTTCTTCTCCAGATCGACTGGAACTTGTAATGATGATGAAAACCTTGGTGGCCATACTTCCTGTCTTCCATGCAAAAAGAACGGTCCTTGAAACCAAAGTGCACATGTTGACAACGCCCTTGCTGAAAGTCCTCTTGATAACACATCAGCTGGGTTGTCTTTTGACCTAACATGTCGCCACTGTTCAGACAGAGTTAAAGTTTGAATTCTTGCCACCCTGTTAGCTACAAATGTTTGA